CCCCTACCAAACATGTTTATTTCTGTTGGAAAATAAGACATTTTAACATGGGAGTCTATGTGGGTGGAGTCACTTTAGAAGCCAGCTCTGAGTAGCACTTTGAGGAACAGCAGTGGCCATATGCTGACCATTTTCAGTTGTTCTTCTTGAGTCGGGCAAGAGCAAAAGATAATGATGAAGACATTGAAGGTCATACAGTGGTCAGTGAGAATCCTCACTCAAATCGCTTCGTGTGGGATTTTTACACCACGTGACATGAAGCATGTGGTGAAGCTGCCTGCAACAGCAGCGGCTATCGTCGAATTAAACTGTAACATGCAGTGGAAATGAAGTTCAAGGTAACTTCTCCTCCCCGGTCAAAAGCAAAGGAGAACACGACTCTCAGAACTGTGTAAGGAAGTAATCCTCTCACTCACATTTAAGAACAGCGATTTAGAGGTTGTGAAATGGACCAAAAACACTCCATCATGTTTGCAAGTTTGACGGTAGACCCTACACTAGACGCCACATTTCTTAAATATTTTCAGATGAAACAAGAAAACTGACTGATTCAAGTATAATAACACTCAGGTGTGTAATAATGAATGTAATGAATGAGGCTGTTTGTCACTGGTTAACTTTGGTTACTGGTCTTGTTTTGTGGTTGTGAGGGAATTTAAAAAGAAAAAATACCCAGTTTAGATAAATAAAGAGTTTATTACCTTCAGCATGATTAACAGTCCTTGAGTTCAATTACACTTCAATTTATTTCATGTGCTTATCACATGTGAGCTGATCTCCTCACGCTCTTTCTTTACTTCACAATGTTGGAGATAATAGTCATCGCTGTTTCGTTGTGCTGGATTAGAAGCTGTTGCAGCTCTAAGCTCGCCCTCTAGGCGGCAGTACAGCTCTAGTATTGTTTGAATGCAGTTAACCTGTGATGAAGCTTAAAGCAGCGTTTACCTGACAGCGGCAGAACTCTGATGTGGTTCAAAGTGTTTGTTATTCTGAGGAGATTCAGCGGGGGCATCCACCTAACACGGGTACAAAGAATTACTCTGCAGAATGGGGACTGTAAAACACGCACAGCTGATTAAGAGAAAAGTAATTTTTTTGCAGGACGCATCAAGAGAAATGTCACACATTCACAGACGTTTGTACTTTTTGACTTTGTGCTTCTTGGGCTCAGATCCAAAGACGGGAACTAAACGTAGATTCATATTTCTAAAGAAGAAACACACATGAAGGGAAAGTCAAGGTGCGGAAGTGCCAAACAGCAGCTCGAGAGAAGTTTCAAAGCTGGCTGAGGGATGCAGCGCAGGGAATAACAATTCACAGAGCATCCATACATTAAAAGAAGT